AAGAGAAGAGAAGAGAAGAGAAGAGAAGAGAAGAGAAGAGAAGAGAAGAGAAGAGAAGAGAGAACAGAAGAGAAGAGAGAACAGAAGAGAGGAGAGGAGAGGAGAGGAGAGGAGAGGAGAGGAGAGGAGAGGAGAGGAGAGGAGAGCAGAGGAGAGGTGCATGAAGGAGGAAATCCTCTCCTCCACTGGTTCCCCAGCCATCATCTCACTCAGATTAGATAGTACGAAAGCCCTTCCAGCTACCATGGTATCAGCCAAGAAAAGTCGTGCTCAGGACCCGCTGCCAACTACGTGCCCTTTCGTTTCTGGCCCAGATGCCAAGCCCCAGCTGTTCCTTCTGCTCTCTCTATGCAGTTTGTTGACAAAGATGAGGCCTAGTTAATTTTTCAAAGAGTCAACAGAAGCTGAGAAGTGTTCACCTGCACACACCAGAAGTACATCTGAGCATGAAAAACAATATTAATTTTGAAACAGTATTTTTTCTCAGGATCAGAACCCATTGGAGTGATTCCAAAAGTGGAACAGCTTGGGGGGAAAAAACCAAACCAAAATAAAACAAGATCAATTGCACTGATTCAGAACTTATTTTTATTGGATAAAGATGGAAGATTATACTCCTGATTGTGACCACTGAAAAGGAAGGGGAGAATTCAGAAATTCTCATGTTAAAGCAAATAGAAATGGAGATTAAGGGAGCAGAAAAACTGTTGGGATAAGTGAGGCAGAACAACAGGGAGCTGTATTTTGGAATTTGAAATTCGGGTTTGACAGATTCAGAGTAGAAATAATACGAGCACAATAAACTGCTCGTTGGTGCTGTTCCTGCACTTCTTCAATCAAGACCGTCCTACCTGGAGTCCAGCTTTTGAGGCTGCAATTGATGTTCTATTCTCTTCAAACTTTAATGCAACTATAATCTCATGACTGTAGCATTCGCCTTTCTTTAAGCCGATAATCTAATGAGTTCCGTCATTTCTTCTAATTTCAATAGCTATTTGCACGACACTGAACTGTTCCTATATAAATTTGAACAAAAATGCTTCACCTAATGGTTTTGTATCACATTATAAAACTATCACTACTGACTTCATTTTGGAATCATATTTTCCTGAAAATATTAATATTATGGGTCAAATTTGATAGAACTTCTTCTCAGTAAGAAGTAAGATAATGCTGTGGCTAAATTCGTGTTCTATTCATTGCAGATAAAATTCACGGCAACCCATTGGGGACCCCTTCTGTCTCTCAAGAGCTATTGCCAGTCCCTATCTCCCCATTCCCATTTTCCATTACTGCTCTTTAATAAATTTTTTGTTATAAAAAATTTAAGTAAAATAATAAACAAAGTTCAAAATTTTCTTTCTTGTACAGTGTAATTGTTTCAATAGTTTTTAGACTCATTTTACTGTTTAAAATTCAACAATAGGATTAATTTTATAAAATATATTTGGCCATTTTTATTTCAGCCATCTCCCTATGTATTTTTCTGCCCATCTTTCTAATGCTTCATTCTGCTTATTTTTGTTCTTTGGATCAATATAGTAGAATCAGGAGAGCCTCAAGTATTCAGAGTTCAGAGTGGCTGAGGCAAAGACAAAGCTCAAAGAGTGAATCCACAGAGTCCTCTCATTGTTCATCATTGCCCCTCTGGATCTGTGTTAAATGAATTTCCTTCTATAACACGAATGCTAGAAATATGTAACTTTTCTGCCAAAGGAGACTTCTTTGCTTTGCTGCCATTGATTATGAATATGAATTCTGAACTAGTTAGTTTCAATGAGAGACAGTAAGAATGGGCAATTACTGAGGAAAACATCCTGAACATTCTTTGTTCCAATTAGCTGGTTTGCAATATGTGTTTGTTCTCTAAATACGTTACCTAACATATAGCTCTGCTTTGTGTTTCTGCAGGTCATTTTCTCTACGTATCATTTGTAATTCCAGTAGCCTTCGCAGGTCTCAATTTTTGTTTCTGGTATGAAATTAGCCTAAGAAAGCTGTAGCTGATGACTGAAAGCATGTAGCACCTGCAAAGACTTGCTTTTATATTTTCCTACAAATGTAATGACTATGAATAAAGAAGGTACAGAGGACCTCACACACCACGTTCTTCAAGGCAAGTGCCTCTGTGGCTGCAATTATGTCATCATGAAATCATGTTCCACATTCTAAAATAAACTCATTGCCATATGAATTGTTATCATGCTGAGTTATTTTTGTAGTTTTCTTTTTAACAGCTTCTTTGGAAGTGTCTTCCAAATTTCCCAGTATACAAAAACAAAACAAAATAAAACAAACACTCTTGTCTCACCTTGCTCAGACAAATACTCGCTGGAATACTGAGAAATCGCCACTGTTGCCCTGTACTCTGTACACACATGCATGCGAGCTACACACATTCAGGTTTGGATCAGTTTTCCAAAATACAGACTTTCTGACTTCTATGAAAGGTAAAGGAGTGCTTTCTCCAGTGGCACAGTGCGGGACTCACCTGTGGACGTGGATGTCCTGTGACCAGACAGGTCAATTCTAGGGTTTCTCCTTCCCGGATTGTATAGACTCTTTCCGAGTAGCGTTCCTCCTCAATGTTACAGGCCAAGCCAGAGTGCACAATGCGAACCGTGGGGGGAGCTGTCCAGTCAGGAAGAAAAGAGACAAGATACATAAAAAGCTAAGTAAATTCTTTCCTATGAGCTGTCTCGACTGCAAAAGCAATTCTTACCAACTTCACCATAGTCTGATCCATCGGTCTTAATGCTTTGGGCTTTCCCAAGAGATCAAGAACTTTGTGGGACACAAAGTGAATTTAATATTCACCAACACATTCTTAAAATGGCAAGGGGAACAGAGTTATGGGGGGAAAATGATGCCTCTGGAAATCAATATGGGAAAATCTGATTATTAAAGGTCTCTCACTTTCTGAAATAAAGCTTTAATATAGTAAAGAATGTTGTACCAAAAGCAGGTGGTTCCAAAGAAAGAAGCCTGAGAGAGGCATTCACAGAAGGCAAATTGGTCAAGCAACGGCCGTGACTCATCCACATGGCTGACACTGACAAAGGATCTACTAACTGCAGTACAGGATTTCAGGGTTAAACCTGAGGGCATTTGACTGACCTTGTCAGACACAAAAGTTACGTTTCTCGTTATATATAGGTCTTGCTTTATCTTGATCTCAACCATCCAGCAGAAAAGTATAAAAACAAGGTATAAAAAATAAAGCCATGTTAATATGCTGAGCTGTAAAAGGCTCAAGTCAACAACTTCTGACATTGCTGGTCCTACGGATAACCCACTACTATTATGGACTACTGGACTACATTGGATTATTTCACTGAATTCAAGCACCTAAAATATTTAAATGGCAATGGAATACCCATCTCTGACAAAACTAAATGAAAATGGGAATGCAAATGAAGGACCATTTTGTATCTGTATATACAAAATAGTTAGTATAGATATACAGCTACTTTCTCTTAATTCAGTGAGAAGAAAGATTTGTACTAATAGCGTTTTGTCAGGATATCATGCCTGCATCTTGTACTATGAATAACTACTATGAAGAAAAAAATATACAGTGTATTAATTATTGTAACTGTCCTACTAACTTGTTTTGAAACCGTCTCATTGCTATTTGTTTCCCAATAAAATTAATTTTAAAAAAGGACCGAAAAAGAAAAGAAAAAACAAAGGAAGAAGCCTAATGAAAGCGAAAAGGAATTTGGATTAAAGACAGTGAAATTTAGTAAAGTTCTCAGGTGCAGGCAAGGAGCTACTGAGTGATAAGTTTTGGTTCTTGGGACGTGAACACCTACTTCATCTCATTATGTGTGGACTCCAAGTTAGGTATTAACAGGAGATAACCACTGAATGAAGACTTTGAGAAAGGTAGTGAGTCACTGATGCTTAAGGCTAACATTCTAATGTGAGAACTTAGTTTACATGGAGCTATCTCTGTTCTTAAATATAGTATTTTCTCCTACTTCAGTACATAAAGGCAATAAGGTTTCACTAGCACTTATTGACTTGTATATCATTGGAAAACAACTCGAAAAACTCCACAAATCATAAAAATTCTTGGCAGTAAGTATTCTTAGACATTTTTGGTCTGTCAACATGTAGATGACTAACACTATTTTAGAGCAATTGGAGATCATTCTCATATATGAACTAGACATTTTTGTTTGTAATGCATTTGCAGATGTAAAAAAATATTTTAAATGAATAAAAACAAAAAGGTTAGGGCTGGAGAGATGGCTCAGTGGTCTAAAGCACCTACTTGGAACAAGCTTAGCAAAAGCATCAGGGACCGC